GTCAGTGTCTGGTGGGCAAACTGATGGTGATGTTCTGGAGGAATCTTTGTATTCATGTTTTAGGCATGTGTCAGATTTCTTGATATAACTACTAAGGGCTTAGTGGGATGTTTCAGGGCATCCTGGAACCCAGTCTGAGAAGTCACATACTATCATTTCTGAACTCTATAGCTGGAATGCAAAAGCTTGCTACATGTCAAGGCTGAGTAATGAAAGCCTGTCTCTTTAGTGTTTATTTTGTGTGTATGAGTGTTTTTCCTGTATACATAGATGAACAGCTCTTGAATGCTTGGTGCCTGTGGAGGTCAGAAGAGGCCATTAAATCTCCAGGAACTGGAGTTATGGTAGTTGTAAACCACCATATGGGTGCTGGGAACCAAACTCATGTCCTCTGAAAGAACAGCAAGGACCCTTAACTGTTAAGCCATCTCTCCAGCTCTAAACCCACTGTTTAGTGTGGGAAGTGCCAATGATTTTGAAGCCGTGTAAACTACTGTATTCATATCCTTTATGTAGTGTATCAGTCAACTTTGTGCCATTATAATGAAATTTCCCAGATAAGGAGACATGGTTTATTTTAGCTCATGGTTTTAGAGGGGCCCACCGCCCATCTCCCAACATCACCACCCAAGGATAGGCCTTTAGCACATGACTCCTCAGGGCAAACCCAAACCATATCTAAACCATAGCTCAGCTTGGGAGCTTTCAAGGACATGTTTACTATGCAGCTGCATTCAGGAATAGCACAATGTGTGTACGTGCCACACTACCGACACACCCACCATATCACTGCAGAGGCCAACTGGAACCATGGTGAATTCAGGGCATGGTCCTCTTGGCAGTCCCTGGGGTCAGAGATCCAGACAGCAGGCTGGTAACTCATCAGAGCAAAAACAGGACAGTAAGACCTGACAAAACAAAGTTGCTGCTTTGAACCAGGGTGCGTACCAGAGGCAGATATTCATTTGACATTTGAGAGAGCATGAGTTGATATTCTAATAAAAGATCACAGAGTACCAAGCAGCCATTTGACAGCCAGCTTGCATGCTACAGTCCCTTTCCTAGTTTTTAATGATAACACTTACGTATCTGTCCTGCATGCTTGGGACTGTCCCGTTTCCTACTTACGTAGGCTCCCGTAGCCTCTCATCTCTGTGAGGAAGGTGCTGTTAGCCCCAATGAAAATTAATGTCCAATGAAGTTAAGTGACTTACCCAGATCACACAGCTCATAAAGGGTGGAGCCAGTTGATCCAGGGAGGTTTGTCTTCAGAGTCATTTCACCACTGTCCTGTTCTGCCTGTCCTAGGATGAGGAACACGATGCGAAAAGCTGGGTCCCAGACCTGGGTATGCACCAGGATCATTTCGGAAGCTTGTCAGAGCTACATATTTCAGGATTTGTAGGAACACAAATACTCCATCTCTGACTAGAACTCTCAGCAGTATCGTTGGGTAATTCTTGGCTGTTCCTTGGGTAGCAAGCTACTAGTAGACCTGTGGGGGCTTCAACTTCGTTACTAAGAAACATCTATAAGCAGCTGAACCATGTCAGTGCTGCAACCACAGGAACTCAGGTTGCAATATATGACAGAATAACCTTTATCTCAGGTTCTGCAGCCTTAGGGAGGAGAAAGAAGGCTCAGAGCATCAAACTCTATAGATGCCAGTCTTGTTTAAAGTTCTGGTCTCAGTCTTTAGATCTATTTCTGCTAAGAATTTTAGCACGAGGTAGGAGGTCATTTTCCATCAGACTAGCAAGTATATTCCACACAAAGGGAAATTTTTGAAGGGTGTTGTGGACATGCCCAGTGAATAGCAACATGAAGTCATAGTGGAGATCTCTGGGAGGGCATGCAGGCATACAGGCCTCCCTTTGAATATTCTTGGCTGCATGGGAGATGAGGTGGGTACAGGCAGAGGAGAGAGGAAAGGGGAAGTTGTGAGCAAGGGAGTCCTAAGAGGTTTAAGATGGGAATTTTGCAAGCTAGTTTGTATCTACACAGCAAGATTCCAAGGGCAGAAGCATAGCGTACTCCAGCCACTAGCAGGACCCACAGAGCTGGCCAGCCTACTCATTTAGTCCCCAAAGGCTTCAATGTGTGGAGCCAAATGGAGCTCATGTTTGACTAAATAGGACAGTTGTCGCCATGATTGTCACACTTTTGTTAGGTTGTAATATAAATGCCACCAGTTATCTAAAGGCCCAACTCGAAGGCAGAAGTGAGCAGCGTGGTAGAGAAGGAGGCTGACCTCACCTGCCTATGTGGCTTTTGTGGCTAGCGCATTGATCCCAGAGACTGGCTTGGTTTTGCCTTGGTGACTCTCTTTGGAAGGATTTCCTCTACTTCAATCTGGAGGGGGGATTTTCCCCTCAGAAGATTTTTTTTTTAATGGAGGCCTGTTTTGTTATCTGGGGAAGATAAATTCTCTCCGACTTGAGCTCTGAATCCTGATTTATCTGTAGGCCTTGTTTACTTTGATTGAATTTGGGGACATTAAAATAAAGATAGATTATATGGCATAGAGTGGGAGGAGGTGCTAAGGATTGACAGCACATCAGGAACCCAGCAGCCATACTGGGAATGGCTGATGACAGGGCTTGAGACTTGTCCATCAGAAGATCGATTTCAGAAAGAAGCTCGGCATGGTAAGGTTGGGAGCAGCCGACTGGCACCTATGAGCCATGAATGCTAGCAAACCGTGTTAGGGGAAAAACCTGGGAGGAGGGGAATATTGGTGAGGAGCTACTGTTTGAATAAAGACAGAGGGTTTGATGACTTCCAGTGGGATGGGAAGGAAGAAAGCTCCAACAAAAAGTATTCTAGCCACGGCAGTGGAGAGCATGGTATATGCGTAACACATCGGCCCAAATCCAAATGCCTAAAGTGCTCCCAATTTTGATTCTGAGCCTGATGTGTTAGAAATGGGAAATTTTAGATCTTGACTGATGTGATATGGTCACAGTCAAAATGAAGATGTGTTAAGAATATCATATAAACTTACCTGGGTAATGTGTGAAAAAAAGCATATATGAGAAACAAAAATGAATTTTGCCTTTAGACTTGTGTTCCACCCCAAGATGTTTCATTATTTATGCATACATTCCCAAATAACTAGAAAAGAAAAAAATCAGAACCATGATTCCAAATACTTGGAGCAAGAGCTGCCCAGTTACTACGTGTAAGGTAAAGGGGGCATACACCCTGCTCTGACTTCTGTGAGTTGGCCTAATTGCCACTGGTGACTTCATGCTGGATGTGACCAGACCAAGAGACAAACACTTAGAGAAGTTACCAGATGCATACATAGCTGTGTCTTTCCAATCACACAATCATTTGTTTTGGGTCGGGACATTTTTAGGCATTTTTAGGATTGTGGTTCTATTTCATCCTATATAATGTCCAACTTTTATTCTTATTTAGTTAGTGCCATAGGAACCTAAATGTGACTGTGAAGCAAGCTGAAGAATTCTTTTACATTTTTTGATTCCTCACCAATATTTTATAATATCTCGTGCATATCTAATTTGATAGGTAAACTAATCATCATTCTCTATTGTCTCTAAAATACTAATTTTTTTTTTTTTTTTTTAGAAAAACCCCTCTATATGTGTACTCACATCTTACTGTTTATTTGGGTAACTGTATTGAAGTAATTTCAGTATAATTATTTGAATGACATGAAATTATTTTGTGGCTATTCATGATTGAGGTTGTGCAATTTAGTGATACGAAATAGCCCCTAAAGTAATACCTTACCAAACATGCCCTTAGATTAATGTTTCCACTGTTCTGATTATGACAGCCTTTGGCTCCTAGGATGGCAGCATCTCTCACTGTATATTGGATTAAATAGGTTCACTCCACCATAGGTTCACCCCTCACATCATATCTTTCAGGGTTCTCTCTATACTCAAGGCATACCTGAAGGCCTGAGCTATCTGTGCCCTATGCATGTGCTTCTGTTTGACTGCAATTCTTGAACACCCTTCATCCTTTCATCTGCTAGGAACAGGTTAGGTTGCCAGGTACAGAATGCTGCCTCCCTCTGCACAGGCTTCATTTTCCAGAACTATGGGATCTTTATTTATTCTTTTACTTCACTGTTGCCCAATACTTCTCTATCAATATCTTTGTTTTGAATTTTATCTTTAAATGAACTCATTTTATACTTATATATAAGTTTGCATCAGTACTCCACATGGAAAAGCAATCTTACTTGGTGAATGTGAGTCGTGCAGACACATAAATTATAGTCAAATATAATTCTTAGCACTGTATAATTCTCTGGCAAGAATTGTTTTCTTTAAAGTGCTGATGGTCAGCAGTAAACACGGTTTCTTGTTTGTGGCAGTGTCTGCATTGAAGAGTGCAGACAGACCAACTTTCTCAGTGTTTTATAATTTATGTCTTAGGAGTGTGTTTGGGATATGTGCTCCACTCTTCAAAAACTGGACAAGTGATTAAAGGGAAGAAGTGATCCTTAGTCTTTTGCTGAACTGGGTTCCAAAGTTCTCTAAGCCATCCCCACCTCCCTGGGAATTCTGAAGAAGCCCGGATGGTATAGGATAGGAATATGGATCCTTTAGCATTAGTGTGGCCATCTTCTCTAAAGTGTCAGAACTGTGGGTTCTTTTGATCTGTGGTCTCAAGATGAGAAACGAGCTTTGTCCTCACACTAAATGTGGGGAGGTGTTTGGTTGGGGCTATAACTTGGAAGGGATTAGTGAATCAGAGGAAGAATGGAAGTTTCCAGCCTTCCTGAGTTCATGGTTTTGTTTTGCGGTAGTCTTATACTTGTCCCTATCATGAGTTAATTTCTCTGTGGTTGAGTGAACCTCACAGAGCAGTTTTCTGTTCCCCGTCTGTGTCCTGTCCACTCCAGTCACTGCCTGTGGGCTGTAAAAGGCAACCTGAGTCCATGTCTCTGAGGTAGAAACCCATCCTCAAGCCTGTACTGGAGCTGACTTCAAGTTGATGGTCGTCCCTTTCTTTTCCAGGCGGTGCTGAGCCCTCTCATAGCCATCGCGTTGAAAATATCCCAGATTCATGAGAGAACTGGCCGGAGGGGACCCACTGTCATCACCTGAGCACGGGGCAGCAGAGCACACAGAGAGACACTCCACCACCGTGCCTTCTTGCTTCCTGTTTGTGCCTCTTAGGACTTTGGGGGGGGGAAGCTATTTTGCTGTTGAGGGTGGGGGTGGGGGTGAGGTGGGTAGTAAAATGAAATGAGGGTGGGAAGGGGGATAAGCACCCCTTTTGTTTTGATTTGTTCAGTTCCTTCAAATGCAGCAGGGTCTTTAGTTGTCTGTCAGATCTTCACTCTTGTTTGATATCTATATGTCATCACACCAATGAGCTCCCCCTTTGGAGATAGATAGGTGTGCTAGGAAACTATTGATCACAGCCCCTGTGGATTTCTGGTGTCCTATGAGAAAAGATTCTGAGACAGAGAGAGAGAGAGAGAGAAAGACAGAGAGAGAGAGAGAGAGAGAGAGAGAGAGAGAGAGAGAGAGAGAGATCCAGAATTAGACTCACTCTAACTGACTCTTAAGTTCTAAGGCCTTTGGACAGGCAGAAGACCTCTTCAACATGGAGGAGGAACTCATCTTTGCAACTTAGCACAAGGTGGAAGTTTCAGAACTCCTAGGATGCACTCCCCTCCCACCAGCCATCCAATGGTCCATGTTCCCCAGCCAGCCACTGTCTCTGCACTGCCTGTCTCACATTCTAGAGTTTTCTCTAAATCACAATGGCACGCTGCCAACAAACCATATAAAAGGGGGTTTTTCCTCTCTTATTTTGCATATAGTATTAATTTAGCTACCAAGCTGGTTGCATCTTTCTGAATGTAGCCATTTCCTGTGCCGGTGAAGAAGGATTTCCTGGAAAAGACTGAAAATTAATGCTGAAAACGAGGGGGACACTTTCTTGATGTCACTAGAGCCAGAATACCACTGTGTACCCTGATCCTGTTCACAGTGGCTGGATAAAGGAGATCAGAGGGGACTGAAATATTTGTGGGGCAATTGTGGGCCCTAGGAGATGGAGAGGTGGATTGTTACAACTAGCTTTCTTTGCCTGAGAGGAACAGGGACCTGGCAGCTCCAGCAGGCACATGGACAGGGGGCAGAGTCCTCAGGCAGGCACGGGATGTGTTTGCTTATGTTTGGCTTCCTTGGGAACTGCAGGTTCACTTATCATGTCATTTGTGGGGTTGACCTAGTGCCTTTTGGCTGTTGAGCAAGGCGTGACTGCTGCCGTCAAGGTCAGTGCCCCAAGGAAACATTCCCAGAAAGGTGTTTGTTTCCATTTTCTCTTTGTGCTTCTGTCAGAAACTTGCTAGGACATTTAGTAGTCAATAAAACAAAACTTCCTTATGTTAACCTCCATACGAGATTGTGGCCTTCAGCTCATTTCTGCCTGCGTGCCATTTTGCAGTTCCAATTTGGTCACCTGTACTGATAAAGCAGCCTTCCAGAACACTGGTAAGGGCTGTGGTTTGTTCTAATGACTTGGAGGGTTGGATTTTAAAAATAGGACCAAAGGAAAAATGAATTGTTCAAAATTGGTTTTGGGAATCAGCAAAAATGAAAATGGCATCTAGTCTTTCACTGTAAGAGTCTTCATTTCAGAGTAATAGGAAGGTAGCTTTGAGCTGAGATTATTTTTAAAAATTATAAAAAACATATCACAAATGGGAAACTTTTGCCTTGTGGGTTTCATTCTCACTATCTCTGGAGTAAAGTCCCTGATAACATCTGTCCATCCACTCACTGTGGACCTGCTGTCGGCATATTCTAACAGATCCTTTGGCACAGCAGCCCGAGCTGGGCAAGCAAATATTTTCGTCACAAATTCCTGGACTTAAATCATCTCTAACTTTTAAGTTCAAGTTATTCTACTTAAACATTGTATTTCCCTTTTTTACATGTGTAGTAGCCCAATTTATAGTGACCCATCAATTCATTTGCTCATTCATCCATTCAGTAAAGACTGGTTGGGTAGCTACTCCAGGCACCTTCCTCCTTTGGATGTAACAGGAAGGTAGGTAGAGTTATCCCTGCTCTTATGAACTTAGAATCTGGAAAGAGTTGGTGGTGACAAACACAAGTTATTGGGGAGGCGTAAGTATTACAGTAGAGGTAAAAGCATGGGCTACGGGAACACACCAAGAGTAACTGGCTCCAAAATGGTGGGACACTGGCAACAGGAGAGTCTTCCTAAAAGAATAGGATGTTTTGGGATCCATTAGCGTTTGTGTAGCTTACCAGAGGTGAACGGAAGCAGCAAGATAGAATAGTCATTGTTAGCTGGGAATTATAAGAAGTTGACCTTGGGAGCCAGAGGTGATGTGATGGGTGGCTTCAGGCAGCCACAGGAAATAACATCAAGTGGAACCAATCTGCATGGCCATCATTTTCTCTCAGATGGGTTAACAAAGAGCAGGTTTCTCAGTGGTTCTAGGACTTGGCCTGTTTCTGAGTTCTCTCAAGTTTACACTGCTGAGGTATTATTTCTGCCTTAACCCAAGATTGCATGTATGAATGCTTGCGTTACTCTGATGAGGCATGAAAGGCAGCAAACTACACTTCCCTATATGATGCTCCTCTTGTTGTTAAAAATGGAGGGCCAACAACCAGCCTTTAAGAGCAAATGACCCGGGGTCAGTGAGGTAGCTGCGGGGAAGGTAAAGGTGCTCACTGTGCAAGCCTACTGAATGACTTGAGTTCAATCCCTAGTCTCCACAGAAAGGGAGGAAGGCTTGACTCCGTACAGATGTCTCTGACCTTCATATGTATCCTGGCATGCGCATCCCTCCTCACAAGATAGACAGCATTTTTTTTTTTAAAATTAAAAGTAAATGACATGAGGCATACAAGAATTTTGTGGGAATCTGTATAGTGAATCATAGAAGAAGCATTTTCTAGTGAGGTGACTGCTAGGGCCACTCTGGTTATCTTCTAGCACTCAGGGGTTCCCGCACTGCAACATATGCCTCTGGAGAGGGGCAAGCCACCACATGTATGTATGTAGTGGTTCTTAACCAAAGTAGTGCCTCATTCATCTAGGGGATTTGGAAATGCGTGTGCATATGGCCAGCGAAGCATTTATAGGGGGAGCCTGGGTGTTAAGTACCCTGCCTGCCAGGTGCCAGCCATTGTCCACAAACAAAACATTGCTTTGTTTCATCCAGGATTCTTGAACTTCTTCATTGTCCTTTTTAAAAAATTGGGGAGGGCTAGGAAGATGGTTCAGGTGGTAAATTGTCTCAGAAACTAAGGTGGAGAATACCCAACATTGACCTCTGGTCTCTACCTGTAGGTGCACACATCCATGTACACATACACAGAAGGGTAGCCATGTTTAAAGAAAGACCACTTATCAGAAATGTCTGTGCCAAGTCCCAGAATGCAGCCATCACATCTGCAGGTCATGAATGCTTTCCACAAGAAACCTTAAGGTTGATAGCCATCCCTGCACTAGATTTGACCACACTAAAGCATGGCAAGAATGATAGTATCATGACTAGAGATTTTTGGTGGCCAGATCCATGCATGAGCTACGGGTGATGTAGGGAACTGATAATGACAGTGAGATGACTCCATGCCCACGGCTAGTAAATCAGTGTTTGGGTCATCAACAGTTCCAAACAGCACGAGATTATCTGAGGCAGCAGAGCTTAGCAGAATGCCTGCTCAACTTCAACCAGCTGGAGGCTCCTCCCTCCCCCACAGAAATAGCCCATGCGTTTGAAGGCTCACTATTATGCCAGTCAGCTGGGTTGTCACACAACTTTAGAGAACAAAGTGGAGTAACAAATCCATGATTCTCTCCTCTTTCCTTCAGTGCCTAGCATGTGCTGTACCATGTAGATGAGCTTGAATGATGCTTCACAGGAAACAATATACTAAGGCAAACTCTTGAGAGACAAACAGATGTGCCAGTAAAACTATCTGTGAGTTTTTGCCTAGAGGGGTCAAGACAGCCAGTACATCTCAGATATTCAAAGGCTCCTCATCATGTACCATATACTGACCTTGCCACCCTGATCTTCTAGGTGCTGGCAGTAATCATTTAAACTTGTTCATCAAAGGAACAACATGAAGCTATAAACTGGAGTCCAGGGGCCACTATAATCCACACTAGGGATGAGGACGAATGAGTAAGCTTCTGCCATGGAGACTTTCCTCTTTCCATTGTTTTATAGTTCAAATGCCCTCCCCAGTATCCATGGGACCACAACTCCTAACCCAGCATCATTTCATTTGGTCACACATCTGAGAAAGAAGGAAGATTCCAGTACTACTTCCTCAGAGTGCATTCTGTAGGGGATAATAGTGTATCATTCACTACAGCAGGACACATTTGTTTGACTTACCCAGTGGATTTTAGTCACTAAGACTAAAAAATGAAAGTTTGCTTTGCATGATACCCAGGTTCTAGACTCCTGAATCAGAGTACATGTGTCTTAGAAACATGTCAAGGAATATGTTTTAGTGTTGATTTGTTTATTCTTTTTTGTTTCTCTCCTTCCCTCCCTCTCTTCTTTTCCTCTCTCCATCTCTTCCTCCCTCTCCCCCTTTCCCTCCTTTATCCCTCCCTCCACCTTCTTTCCCCCTTCCCTCCCTCTTTTCCTTCCTTCCAAGGCCAACTTTGAACTCCTGATTCTCCAGCTTCTACCTCACAAGAGCATGGGTTACAAGTATGTGTCACTATGCCCAAAAGTATTCTTTTTTTAAAGTAGTCACCAGGCTGTTTTCTGAAGCAACAGCTGGTTTCTCTCATGTTTGGATTTGCAGGAATATGAACTCATCTTGATACTGTGGCGAATGCTACTGTGACTTAGGGTCCTCTACTGTTTCCTTCCTTCCTTCCTACCTTCCTTCTTTCCTTTCTTTCTTTTTTCTGATACAAAAAGTGACAAAAAGAAAAAATGAAAGAAAGGAAGGAAGGAAGGAAGGAAGGAAGGAAGGAAAGGTCAGTCTGATGCAAAGGAGAGGTGACTAGGGTTAGCATGCTTTTTGTGAAAGCATGAGGAACTAGTTTAAATCCTCATTCATGCCAGGAACCCCAGAAAGATTCCTGGAAATTCACTTGCCAGCCTACCTGAAACAACTGCCCCCGACTACCCCATGCATGTGCACACATGCACTTGCACACATA